TGTGTGAATGATGAAATTTTTTTTTAGCTGGATCAATAAAATATTTTTTTGAGCACATAACCTGTTCCTGTTCACTCCCAGATCCTTTGACCCTGACCAGAGTCTGAGCAGCAATGTCAGTTTTTCATAGTGATCAGTCATTTTGTCATAAATGAACAAATATTTACAACTATAGAACATTTAATACAAAACCTTTCAAGTAATCATTATGTTATGATTATTTTTACAAACAATACAACACAACAATTCTCATAAAATGAATAAAACTGAAGATATTTAAAGAATATTTAAGCTAAATGTGAAGAAAACATAAAAATCTAAATAGTCTAAACTGAAGTAAAAAATGTAAAAACAGAAAAATCATTTCTTCCTGTTTTCCTGGTTCATTTAATCAATTTAATGTTTTTTTGCTAATAAAACTTAAGTTTTGCTTCAATAACTGTAGGTAAAATTATGCTTTGCTGCATTTTTGTTGACAATATTAAAATGAGGTTGGAGGTTTATCCTTTTACTTTGCCTCTGGATGAGCGGATCCACGGCTGCACAACACAGAGCAGAAAGAGAGAGATTTTAAAAAACGTTTTCTTCCTAAACGAGACAATCAGCTGAAACTGTCGAGGGGAATTTGTTGTAACTAAATCACAGGAGATGTCCAGAGTTTGAAGCCTGTGTTCATGATGCGTTCATGAACAAACAGCATTTCATTTGCTTTCACAAGATGTTATCGCAGATAGGACTTTACAGTTACCCAGAATATTTTACTGAAACCAGATCTGAATGACCGACATCACCCCGTCTTCTTTAGAAGCGTCTTCATCCACCTGCAGCTGCAGCCGTTGAGATCAGAAACGAGGGTCTGTGCTGCAACCTGAGCAAATAATCCGCGGATTTCCAGTAGAACACATTTGCGGCAAGATTTGTGCAATAATCAGACTTTTGTCGTACTCCCACAAAATGTCCGTTTTAGATTAGATGTGAAAAACGGGGACAGCTTGTCATTAAAATTAAAATCCTTCCCTCGTTAATTACAAGTCAGGCAGCATGGCTCGCCGGCTGCTTCCAGGCGGGCAACTTTCAGGTGCGTTGATGTGTTGGAGGCCCCTGGTTTACACCTTAGTTTAAACATTTCATCAGATTTTGCAAAGCTAAATACCAACCTTCAGTATTTCTAGAAAAAAGTTCATAACAATTGTGGTGGTGGGGTGATGATTTGAGTTTGTGTTACAGCCTCATAATTTGTGCTCCTTGCAATCAAACATGAAGTTTTTTGTCAATCAGCGTCTTTACAGCTTTAACCAGATCAGATCAGGCAAGTTCTCACCATACCATGCCAAACCATACCATACCACATCATACCATACCATACCATACCATACCATGCCATGCCATGCCATGCCATGCCATGCCATACCATACCATGCCATACCATGCCATGCCATGCCAAGCCATGCCACACATCACCACACCATACCATACCATACCATACCATGCCATGCCATACCATACCATGCCATACCATGCCATGCCATGCCATGCCAAGCCATGCCACACATCACCACACCATACCATACCATACCATACCATGCCATACCATACCATACCATACCATACCATACCATGCCATACCATGCCATGCCATGCCATACCATACCATGCCACGCCACGCCACGCCACGCCACACCACACTACACCATACCATACCATACCATGCCATACCATGCCATGCCAAGCCATGCCACACATCACCACACCATACCATACCATACCATACCATGCCATGCCATGCCATGCCATACCATACCATGCCACGCCACGCCACGCCACACCACACCACACCACACTACACCATACCATACCATACCATACCATACCAAATCTTACAGCATATTTTAAAATGATCATTTGAAAATGTCTTTCCATCCAGGGTTGAACCGGCCTTTACCCCGGTGCCTGTTTTCTCATTTCCCTGAATAGGGACAAACAGGTCAAGAAAATGATTGAATGAAAAATGGTGCTTCTACTCAGTGTTCAGACTTAAATCCAACTGAAACCCTACTGTGGGATCTTAAGAAAGCTCTACATGACCACGAATCTCAATGAACGGAGTCAATATTGGACCATGTTTCTCATCAACTAGTGAGAGGCTGATGAAGTCATTCTTCAAATAGTTGTTGCATGAGATGGTAGCCATTGTTCTTTACACACTGCTTCTGCCAGTTTTATTTTGTACCTTTTAATTGTTGGAATGTTTCTTGTTATGTATTTTTCAACCTTGTCCTTATATTTTAAAGTTTGTTTGAACTCTAAGGAACTACCTATACTTTATATTTCCTAAAGAAACTAGCTTCCTTGGCCTGTGATTGTTTTTTTACTCTTTATTACATTCTTGTGCAAAGTTAAAGGTGGACTTCTTTATTGTTGATTTCACAAGGATGAAAACAGCAGTTCTGCCATATTAGATTGTTCAAGTCTAATGAGAAAATATGAGCTCCTTTTGCTCTTTACCGTATCACCCAATTATGCTCACTTATGCTCTGCTCTCAGATTCACCCTGGATAATAGCATAACTACGACTCCCCTCCTAAATGGGACCAGCAGAGTGTGAAAGTCTGCGATGGATCAATATGTCTCAGAGCTGTTCTGTAGAAAAGTTTTATTAAAAAAATGTGAAAGTTTTAAGAATTGGAGAATAAAAACGGTGTGGGCCCTTCGTTGTTCCCTTTTAATAAAAGTTCACATTGTGGAAACCTTCCGCCACCTAAATGTTATAAATTTGTCCTGAGCTGAGTTAATATTCGGCCCTGCATCCGACCACCTGCCCCAGGCTTGTTAACAAGGTGCCCGTGGCAATGATTGCCTGGCCATCAAACTCCCAGCTGATAAGTTCCTCTGGGAAGGAGAGAGACGAGCTCTGTCACTGAATTTCCCCTGATCGGCTGCTCGTGCTGTACATTGGAGATAACGCTCAGCAAATCCCAGCCTCGCTCTGTCTGTAATGGCCTCCATCACGTTTCTATATAACTTATTTCCTTTAAATATCCTCAAGGTTTTTTTTTCCACGAATCTCATGTAGCTGCTGGATGGATCCCGTTCTCCACGTTTTATCATCCGATGACTCGATTTATACGGACAATTATAGTCCTGTCTCCCGTCGTCAAGACGCTAGTTGACGAGACGCCTGTCACATCTGATGTTGCAAGGCCAAGGAAGGAGATTGGCTGATTGATTGAAGTGTGAGAGCACGGAGGGTGAGGGACGTGGTGACAGGACCATGATTGACACAGATGAGAGGGACGGGAAGAGGGTCGAATCGAGCAGCAGGCATGAGCAGGATGCTAAAACAATAGAGAGAGGGAGTATTTACAAAGATAGATACAGTTGGCCAGAGAGAAACAGGTGGTGAGTGGGAGAGGTGGGGAGAGAGAACGTAGAGGAAGGCGGGGTGGATGTGTGAGAAAGAGAAGCAAAGGAGACAAAGATAAGGATGCTGAGAAAAAGATGAGAAAGGAAAAGGGTGAAAGGTATTCCAGGAGGAACCCCTCTGAACTTCAGTCATGCCCCAGTGAACGTGCTGACATGGTCCGTCTGCTGCACAGAGGAGCAAGTGTCATACGTGCACCAAACGCTGCTCAGAATAAAGTAAAACTGGCACCGAGCAATTCATAACACTCCAGTTAAACAACAAACCCAAAGAGCCCTGGCTTAGCCAACAGGAAAATAGGGAGAGACACTTTAAAACCTTCCCAGTTTGTTCCTCCGCCAGAATGCCGCATAACTCGTCAACAGCTCGTGTTCCATTCTCACAAAAACGAACACAAGTGAACTTGGTGTTTCATTAGTTTCCCAGTCAAGAGTTTTACGATTCAAACATTCTGGGAAAAGATTTACATGTTTTCATTACAGGGTAAAGGCGGGCGTGAGGTGGAACTGAAGATGCAGACCTGAGCTGTAAATCTGAGCCGTTAAACGCTAATTATCGACCGTTTCTCAGCCTTTAACGTTCTAAAACACAAATAAAAACGTCCAAATGTCCAGACTTTGACAGATTTTATGTGAACTCCCCATATGGTCCTAAATGTGGATGTGCATGTTGCAGAGCAGAAGAGAGGAACTAGACTGCAACATGAACTGATTGCCATGCTTTTTTTGTCCTCACTCCCACTGTGCTGTCATTGGCCAGCATCTACAAATCCACTCTAGCAAAGATTACAGCAAAAAAAAAAAAAAAAAATTCTCCGTGAAAACGAAGAGTAAAGACAGTTAGAAGGCTGTGTTTCTGCAGGGTTTAGTCAATCCTAAACATCCATGTTGCTTCTGCAGCTGTGAAATGATGATTATATTCATGCAACCTGGCAAACAGTCACTTTATTGACTTGTCAGATGTGTGGGCCGGCATTATTGAGAAATCACTGAAGAACGTCTGCTCTTATCTAAAGACAAGCACACTGACTGATATCTGACATTTTGATTAGAGTTTTTCTTTGTGTCTTGAGTGCGTGAGGCACACGCTGAAAGTGCGAGCCTGATAAACGAGAGCGTAGTAACCTTTTTTATCGCTCCGGGCTCTGCGCGCAGCAAGGTCGATCAGTGTGCTCGGCTCGCATCTGAACTGACATTTCAACCATCTGACGAAACGTTTACATCAATCTCGCTTATTAATCACACATCAAAGTGATTTTGAAGATACTTTCACCTCCTAAATGGTCCCCAATTTTGTTAGAAATCATCCTTTCCATTCACAAATTCCTTTTGTTAGCCTTCTCTGTACAACTGTCTTGTGCCTGTCTGTTTTACGGTTGTAAAGAACCAAATGTATCATTCTGAAGATGTAAATGGAAGCATGCTCTGGGCCTAAAAAGCCCATTGTGTTTGAGGAAATCAGATTGGAGGCTAGTCCTGCTCGTCTATACGTTCTCCTACCTGTCTCTGCAGCTCCGTTTTTAATTAACGCGGCACAATGATGAAAGTTTTGGCTTAATTATCTTTATCTTTTCTCTCAGGGTGTTCAACTCTCCGTGGGAAACTGAATGAGACGCCTGACAGAAGGAGCTGGGAAAAAAAGGAGAGAAAAACACCGCTCAGGGAGGCTTCGTGAGATAGAGGGAGATATTAGACAGACTGAAAAAAAGGAGAAAAGGAGTGACTGACACCTGCCCTCCAGCTCGGTGTGAAGGGCACAGCATGGGAGGGTGAGAGGAGGAGAAAACACAGGAGAGAATGAAGAACACCGGAAAACAAGACCTGCCTTATTACCAACCTTGCTCAAATTAGAACGTCTCGTGCTACAAGACAAGATGATTGCAAGGCATTTGCTGCTATTGGTTGTCCTGTCCCTGTGGGAGGAGCTTCCGGGATGCGCCTCTGCCAGTAAGATTGTACGACGGAGAGGAGTGAGTGGATTGCACACGGTGAAGCTAGGGGAGAGCAGATCTGCAGGCCAATGGGATGGAAGCGAGGATTCTAATGCATTGCCAATGGTGACCCTTAGAAACACGATCAGTCACGAACAGGCGAGCGCTACTGGATCATTAGCTCACTCCAAATTAGTGCATTCGTTGGGATCAAACAAGGAGAGGCAATCTTTTAAGCCCAAGCGTGAGGTCGACTCTGTCAGTAAACAAGAGTTACCTCTGTTCATCTTGTCCATTAGCAAGGCTTTAAACCAGGATGGGAAGAAAGGGAAAAACAACACAAAAAGTGTTGAGGCTCCCAGGTTAGAGAAAACATTTACGATCCATCACAAATCCGACGTGCACGCCAACAAAACCAGGTTCAAATCTGGTTCTAAGTCCAGGAGTAGAGCTGACCTGAGCACCCGGACGACAGGCGTGCCTGAAAGAGGGCTAAACGTAGAGTCAAACCGAAAACGTAACCTCACCGGTAGTTATGGTGTGCTGAAGCTGCTGTCAAAAGAAAACTTAGTGCGGATTGTCAATTCCCAAATGCAGAAGGTTCCTGGCCTGAGCTTGCCAAGCAAGGGCAGCCGGAGCAGGAAGAGAGATTTGATTGACGTTAATCACGGACAGTTGGAGGTTCAGAAAGAACCTCGACAAGATATGGCTGCCACTCAGTCTCACTTTGGATACGATAATCAGACCGCGTTTCCTTATGCGAGCAGCGTCACCGACCAAGATCCCAATCGAGACCATGGGACCGATGCTCGCAGTAATCCGCCACGTGAAGTCAAGCCAGCCTTGAGCACAGGGCAGGAACACTTGGGAATACAGAGCTCAGACGGAGGCGATAACAAGAGTAAACACCTTGTCCATTTTCTGTCAACACCTCACAGCGAGGTCAGCTCGAGTCCAGCGGACGACGTGGCGGCTGGCCAAACAGAACCTCCATTCACAATGACAAAACATCTACCCATGTATGTTCTTCCCGAAAACAACGATTCCCCTCCATCTATGCTGACAATGCAGCCCCTGGGAGGAAGGCTGGGGAACAGAGCAGCAAATTCCCACGGAGACCCATTAACAGAGTCAGCTCACACTGCACAGACAGAGCTCAGCACAGATCACTATCTCACAGATGAAGATTACAAACTTGTCAACAGCAGCCATGTGCTGAGGCTCCACCCTGCTCCCAAATGGAGCCACGGCACAAAGGACACCGAGGTGCGAGCTGTGGATTCAGAGAATGGAATGGGTCTTGTGTTTGAGGAAGCAGAATCCGAGGTGGAAGAGCCACGTGACCCTATGGAGAGGAGGGGGGCACGCTCTCGCAGCAGGAGGAGCTGGATATGGAACCAGTTCTTCGTGATCGAAGAGTACGCAGGGCCAGAACCGGTGCTCATCGGACGGGTAAGAAAAAACCTACTCTCGACATTACAGAGGCCGTAGGCTCCAGACATTCTTGCAGGTCCTCCACTTGGCTTATTTAACTCCCCAGCTCAGTTGCACATCACATACAGAAGATAATTTGCTTAGATTAACCCCACGGTCATGCTCCGTGTTTTTGAGCATTGTTTTAACCCTACGATTGGAATCGATCTACATTTCTCCGGCGCGATGTGACGCCTTCCAGGCAGCCGTAAAAATTTCAATGAATCAGTGGTCTACTGAGGCTCAGCAAAAGCTCTGGATCTCGTCTGCCCAAGAGGCTAGTCATGATCACCACCAATCTGCACCCACCAATGGGAATTGACATATCCTGTAGAATTAATAGCTTTGCTTTTTCCCACTACCATTGATCCTCTCCCCAAGGCAGACAGCCAGAACAGTGTGAGTGTTCCCTCATTTCCCTGTAGGTCACACCTGTCTGCTCTCTCTCTCTCAGTCTGCAAGGCCTTACTTATGATATTTTTTCCAGACTGATTTACACTCAGTTTGACAGCGTTTATCACTGTGTTCTTCCTCAGTGCAACACGCAGCGGTCTGTGGTCCTACGGCTCTGCTCTGCAATTTATTACACTCATTGGCCAGGAATGCCTCACCCGCTGCTCCCCGGCACGCACTCCCTCCTCATTTCAAAGAGTTATGAGTACGGAGGAGGTCACGTCAATTGGACAGAAGGTGTCTTGAATCCAGGCACTTTAATGTGTGCGCTCTCTGTCCTCAGCATGCGCCAACTGTCTCAGAACCCAGCTGCGGTAGATGAGCTCATTTATAAGCCTGTGTGGCCACTTTGCTGAGCAAATGAATAGTAATGATCCCCGTGTGACTGCTGCAGGCTGCTGGAAGCCACCGAATGAGAAGTTGTTTTTGTGTGAGTGCCTTAAGTCGAGCTGCTGTTTATGAACTTCATTTGGCCCTGTGGGGTGTGTTTCATGCACCAGGCAAAAGGCTCAAATTACTTGATGTTTTTTAACAAGCAGGTGTGCACAGATGGGCCGGACCTCCGTTCAGCCTCTCTGCTGCTTAGCTAACATTTAATTTGGCGTCTTTTGCCTTTTGCACCATGACTGATGAAGGTCTGAGCAGAACGCTGTGGAGCGTTGTTAGTGAGCTTTGAGAAGACTCGGAAGCCTGCAGTCCAGCTTACAGATGGCATCGCGTGTAAAGCCATTAGTGCCAATCTGCTGTGTCAAGCAGGTATGGGTGCCAGCACATTGTATGGTACTCAAGAAGGGAACGATGTCAGAACACACACACACACACACACGCACGCACGCACACACACACACACACACACACACACACACACGCACGCACACAGCTCTGTTGTGACTGTGATTTTGCGCGTGTTCTCGGCTAGAGATGCGTGTGATTAGTACCTCGCTGTATTACACGGTGACAGCACACATAAATAATGCTCTTATAGATCCTAATACGCTTATGAATGTTTAATCTTCTCTGCTCTGGTGTAGGCGCTATAGGTAGAGAGATCAATGTGGACATGCTGCCGCGTTTTTTCTCCATCGAGGACCCGATTGGGCTTTAATAGAGAGAGTTATGGTGGTGTTGGGGGACGCCGGCTGTTCTGCCCGGGCCAGAACAGCTCCATCTGGCAGATCTGTTACCTGTGACTTAATTATAACATACAATCTTTGACACGCATAAACACACAGGGGCAATATTTTTAATTGGTGTGACTCTATTGGCTCTCTTCTCCAAACCGGTTTTGCATTATTGTTTGGTTTTCAGTGAATATAAACCTCCACTAAAGCCGGAAACGAGAGCCAACGTTCTTATCTGTGATGTCAGCGGGAGTCAAATGCTCTTTTGTTAAACTGATAATGAATTTTGGGTCGCATTTGTGAAACGGCTGCTGGGGTTTGAAGTGGATGCTTACATGTTTTTCTAAGCTGCACGTCTTAGAAATGAAGAAAGGTTTCACAAAAACAAGCTTTTAGTAGACCAACCGCTGCCGGTTTGTTGTTGCGGAGGGAGTCTTTAAAATGTCTTCGTTCTGATGGGATTTCAAGTTTTTGGTTTTCAGAAAATTGCTAAAAAAAAAAGCAAAAAAAAAAAAAAAACCTCCAAAACAAAACACATTTTCATCAGTGACTTTTGTGTCTCTACTGCTTACTTTTAACACTCTATCTTCCACTTACACACACACACACACACACACACACACACACACACACACACACACACACACACACACACACACACACACACACACACTACATGTTACTATATTTTCTCACGCTGGAGTGTCGCTCCCCCATGATAATTGTGAATTTAATTGATGCTGTCACATGGTCTGAAATGGGGTTTCAAGTGATTGCAGAGGCAATGTGAGAGAAATGCTGAATTTCTTTTTTCTTTTTCTTTTTAGGAGAAAAGGCGCCTCAGCAGAGCAGGGATTAAAAGAAAAAAACACCCTTTTTCTGATTAGCTTTTCTCCTCTTACTCTTCTCTTGAAATGCAAACTCCCTAGCACCTCGTGCGGGGGAGGAAACGTGACTCAAGCGAAACGGTTTCTTCCTCTTTGTGAGGAAATTCCCTTTTGCCCTGTTTCACCTTCGTTACAACTTTTAGGTGTTAGCACGTTAGCTAATGTGCATTAACTCATGCAGTGCAACAGGAAATGGACCTAGGCTATCTCCATTATTAGCATATCATTAACATCATGATGTGCATTTAAAATTCATAATGTAATAAACCTTCACCACTGATGTCTCTGCCAAGCAACACACAGTCTGAATAACTGCACACAGACGTCAATAAAAAAGATAAAATATTGACATCTGATGTGTAATTCTTCATTGTTCAACACTGAGTATTAAAACTATTCATGCAAAACACAGTTGAGACTCTTCCAGCCTAAAGGCTCTGATGTATATTGATAACATCTGTGCCTCTGTGTTGCCCCTCTGGGGACAACCTGCACACACGTGTTCCTGCAAAAACACTTGTGTAAAATAATGTGGTGCATGGATGAGGATGAGGTTGTCAGTGCTAAACGATGGTGCACTCCAGCAGAACCCTTTCCTACTTGGCTCTGAGTCAGAAGGTATTTACTCTCTTGTTTTCACCCGACGTTTAGCTCATAGGACTCCAAAAGAGTCCAAATTCAGCCTAAAAGGGTCATATGTGTAATGATTTAAATTACATGTTATTTAATAAGCCATAAGACAAAAGATTCCATAGCAAATATGAAATCCACCTTATGGATCTGTGAGGTTATTTTAAACCAGAAGATTGGAACTTTTTATTGCAGGGATTAGATAACAGCTTCGTATTCACTCAGAGACAACAGAAGAGAGAGAGAGTCGAGTTTAAAAGTTAAAAAATTTATTACTAAACAAATTAAACTAGACTAACTTTAACACTATGGTGTAACTGAGGTGGATGAGGTGGAGAATGGTGTAATGTGGAATGTTGCTCAGAACCAGCAAATCCAAAGAAGTGGTTAGTTCTGACAGGAACTGAAGGTGATGTCTTCGCGTTAAGCTTTGATTAGGAGATTCATAAACACATTCGACGCCATTTGTCAGTCTACATACCCTGAGCGGAAGACCCCGTCTAGATCAGGAGGTGTAACGGTCCAGCTTGACCTTATGGAGCTGGAGCCCGTAGAAGCAGCCGCGGCAGCCGACCACCAGTCTTGAGATACCCCCGGGTCACGACAATTTTGTTGGCATCTAGTGAGACCCAAACTTGGGTCGTGATGGTTCAGCTTTTATTCTGAAAGGAACTGTTGCAGCAGTTGGAACAGCAACAGATTTTATCCAGCTTGTCGTTTGTTCCATGCTGTAGTTCCATCTCAGCATTTCAAGTGAGGAACGAGCTTCGCAAGATCAAGGTGCATAAGGCTGCAGGCCCAGATGGCGTCAGCTCCAGGCTCCTGAGGTGCTGCGCAGATGAACTGTGTGGCATACTAGGTTACCTGTTCAACCTGAGCCTATCGCTTGGGAAAGTACCACAGTTGTGGAAGACATCCTGTGTGGTACCGGTACCAAAGACCTCCCATCCCAAGGACCTCAGCAGCTACAGGCCGGTAGCCCTCACATCGCATCTGATGAAGACACTCGAGAGGTTGGTTCTTAACCATCTGCGTCCCCTGGTGAGGTCTTCATTAGATCCACTACAGTTTGCTTACCAGCCTGGCATTGGGGTGGAGGACGCCATCATCTACCTTCTGCACCGAGCTCTGACTCACCTGGAGAAGCCTGGAAGCACTGTGAGGATCATGTTTTTTGATTTCTCCAGTGCTTTCAACACCATCCAACCACGACTTCTGAAAGATAAGTTGGAGCTATCGGGAGTGGACCACCACATGTCTCAGTGGATACTGGACTACCTCACAGAACGACCACAGTATGTGAGGTCACAGGGCTGTGTCTCTGACACGCTGGTCTGCAGTACGGGGGCCCCACAGGGAACTGTGCTGGCACCGTTCCTCTTCACCCTCTACACTGCAGACTTCTCCATCAGCTCCCCACGCTGCCACCTACAGAAGTTCTCTGACGACTCTGCCATAGTTGGCCTCATCACAGATGAGGATGACTCAGAGTACAGACAGGGGACTCTGGACTTTGTGGACTGGTGTCAGCAGAACCACCTGCTGATCAACGCCGGGAAAACCAAGGAGTTGGTGGTGGATTTCAGGAGACGCAGACCCACCCCAGTGACACCGGTGAACATTCAGGGAGTGGGCATTGAGATAGTGGACTCTTATAGGTACCTGGGTGTTCACCTGAATAATAAACTGGACTGGAGCCACAACACGGATGCTCTTTACAGGAAGGGTCAGAGCAGACTCTACCTGCTGAGGCGGCTGAGGTCATTTGGGGTACAGGGAGCGCTTTTAAAGAGCTTCTATGACTCTGTGGTAGCATCTGTCATTTTTTACAGTGTGGTATGTTGGAGCAGCAGTTTATTGGCAGCTGAGAGGAAGAGGTTGGATAAAC